GCTCCCGGCGCCGGGGGGTCAGGAAACTGAGCGGAAAGTGGGGAACGAGGCAGCCATTTGCAACCGGAGAGGAAAGTAGTGCAGCGCGGCGCCGCTCCGCCTCCCCCCCTCCGCCTCCTGTTCGGCCGGTAGGGTGGTTCCTGCGAAGGGGCTACTTCCTGGCCCAAGGTCTCGGCAGCGGTCGTGGAGATTCTGGAAGCCTCCGGTGCAAGACCCGGGGGGGCCCTTTGGCCTGGGGAACCCCACTCGAGAAGGGGAGAAAGGAGAAGATTGGCCCTATTTTGTGTTGGAGCGGAGCAGCGGAGGGATACGGCCCTCTCGGAGGAAAGGCTGTGACTCTGCAGTTCTACGCACACGCTGCGGGATCCTTCCGCCGCGCGTTAACCCCGGCGGCGCCGGGCGGCCGCCGGGCAGACACGTGGGAACGAAGCCCCCCTCCTCTGCGCCCGGGCCCTGGCACTGCCTCCTTCACTGCCCGGTTCGGGAAACTAGGACTTCGGCCACTTTCTAGTTCCGTTCCCTTGGAGTTCTAGGTCCCCGAAACTCCCGCTGCCCCCTTGAATTAACCAGAAGCAATCTTTCCTGGGAGGGGGATAGAAGAAGAGCCAGGAGATTGGCCGCTGCTCTGCATCTTGGGAACTGGAGTCCGCAAATGGAGAAAGTGAGGCACGGCGCCTGGCGCTGCAAAGGGTGGCTTCTTGCCACGTTCAGGGACCGAAGAAAAAGCGGAACGAGTCGTTGCTTCTGACTCTCAATACCCCTCGTGAGGAAAATATACTGTCAGTAACCGCCCCCCCCCCATTACCACACACACCTCCCCCATCAAAACATAAATGTAGTTCCCTTTCTTTCCCCGGTGCCCCGACCCCCAGTCTTTTCGGATCTTCAGGGCCTGTGTCGTCCCCCCCCCCCCTTTTTTTTTTTCTGGAAACTAGAGGGGCTGTACCTTGGATCCTGGCTGGAGTACTGTTTGCAGATCCCAAACACTGTTTGCAGACCACCCCCACCACCACCACCACCACCACCATAAGTCTGGATGAGGAATGGAATGCCTTTTCTGTCTTAGCTGTACCCAAGGGATGGTCAAGAGGAGACAAATTCATTATGTCCTAGATACTTTATATATTCTTAGTTATGTATTACGTGGATTATGTCTGTATTACAGATCAAGAGACTGAGGATAAAATTGTCCAACAAACCACATCTAGTGGGAAGTAGAGCCATGTGTAAACAATGGCCATGTTTTTCCTAGGATTGAGAATATATATATATATGTGTGTGTGTGTGTGTTTGTGTGTGTATATTAAGGAAGATGTGGAGAAAGAAGCAGGCAAATCACGTGCAGGGCCAATTCTGTGGGAAAGGGTTTACAGTGCTATCCAATAGAATTTTCTGCAATGATTGAAATGCCTTATAACTACACTATCTAATACGCACTATAGGTACACTAATATAACTTGGCCACATGTAGCTATTTGAAATGTAGGTGGTACAACTGGGGAACTATTTAATTTTAATACTAAACTAAACTTAAAAAGCCATGTGTGACTTGTGGCTTTCATATTGGAGAGTGCAGGAGATCTAAATCCCTACTGGCCAGAGTCATAGAAGGGATCAGGACTAGGAGTGTCCTGTGCTAGCCACACACTAACATCATGTGCCCTGCACTGACCATGCAGGTCTATTTCAGCAAAAAATTCCAGCAGTAATCCCACAACCGTCCCAGCTATAGTGGAATAAATAAACCAAGACAAAAGTTGGAAAATGGAAGGCCCCTCCCTACTCTCTGCACCCAAAGGCAGGGAGGTAGACTCCACCAGAAAGACCTCCAATAACAAAACAGCTACCATTTCTTAAAGGTTTATTATGTATGAGAAGCTGTGCTAAGCATTTCATATATCACCTCAGTTTAATTCTCACCTCAACCCTATGAAGGTTTGACTATCCTTCATAAATGAGAACTTGAGGCTCAAAGAGATTAAGCAAGATTACACAACTAAGTGGAAGAGTAATTATTCCAACCCAGCCATTCACCACTATTCTTGACTACTCTCCAGCTTTGAAGTTGACCGATACACTTCTAGAAACCCTCAGGCAAAAGTCTATACCAAACCTCATGGAAATGGCAGCAGGAAGGTAGGTACCTGTAATGAGTGTTCCAGGTGAGATGTGCAAAAGGACCTAATTTAATGTAAGGAGAGAGAGCGATGACAACCCTAAAGAGATTCCTAAGCCACTAAGATTGCTCCTTGCAGTATGCTTCTTCCAGCAGCCCTTATTTCTTTTTAGATTCTGGATCAGAGATGCAAAAGCAGTTGTCAGGGCTTCTGAAAACCAGCATGACAAACAATTATCACCAACCATAAGTCCAACTGGCCTGGAGCCAAGCACTAGCAAGATCATAGCTAAAAATCACACCTAGCCCTAACCGATTTGGCTCAGTGGATAGAGCATCAGCCTGCGGACTCAAGGGTCCCAGGTTCGATTCCGGTCAAGAGCATGTACCTTGGTTGCGGGCACATCCCCTGTAGGGAGTGTGCAGGAGGCAGCTGATGATGTTTCTCTCTCATAGATGTTTCTAACTCTCTATCCCTCTCCCTTCCTCTCTGTAAAAAATCAATATATTTTTTAAAAATCATCATTCTCCCCTTTTTAAAAAAAAATCACACCTAGATATTGTCCATCCTCCCCAACTAAGAATACCTCAGTCTCCCCTAGTTGGCAGGAGAAATTTATGCCCTCCTGTGACGGATACCATTTAGGTAACTCCTTGGAGGAAATATTCGGCCAATTAAGCCCTAGGACTGGTGGGAAGTGGGGGGTAGGCTCAGAAACTATACATATATAGGACCAAACCTTCCTAGCTGTAATATATCCATCCTGCTACTGAGGTGGTGGACCAATAAGGACAGAAGCAATAGCCTTGGTGCCTAAAAAAGAGCACAACTCCAAAGATGTGAAAGGCATCAAAAGGTCACCAAAGATATGAAAACAATAAAGAAAATCTGTTTTAATGAAAGGCACTGTAGACATGGGGATACAAGAGGATGGATATACAACAGAGGCATTATTTCTACTTTACTCAGTTCTCTTAGAAAGACAAAAGTTTAGTCCCTGCCTCTATACTCATTCTCGATTCTTACATCATTAGGAATGAGGGGCTTCCTTCCTCTTCCCCAAATCCTACCTTCTCTCCGAGTTCCAGCAAATGCCAAGGCCCAAGAGAGAAGCTAGGTCAGTTGTGGCAGCTGGCCACTAGAGGGTAGTGTTTCTGTAGTTAAGGTGCTCTTGGGAGCCTACAAACTTGGATGGGTGTGGCAGCCAAATGGTACCTGTAAAGGAAGTCTTCGGGTAATGGTCCTGAATGAGTGAGAAGTAAGGAATAGGAACAAGGTAGGAGGAAAGAAATTAGCCCTGAATCCTCACCAAAGACCACAGTCATCAATTCTTGGAAAATGAGATATTGGCGCTGTGTTCTCCCATATTCAGAGAAGTCAACTACAAAAAGATTTCTCAGTTTATTTGCATATATACATTGTCACCCCAGGGAGCTAGCTCCACTTCTGGAATCCCTAACTCCCTTCACCCAGCCAACATCCAAAACCTACATAGGAGACTGGGTCCTGAATACCCAGGACTCATATCGCAACCCTGCAGGTTATAAGAATTCATTTAGCAAAAACAGAGGCCAGTGCCCATTAGACATCCTTGCCCCTTTGTAAACATTGACAACCAGGCCACTGGAGCCTGGGGAAAGTGTGCAAATGTAAGGGTACCATTACTGTGTGCCCAGAGGGCCAGGGACACAGCTGGCAACCATACCCGTGAAGTCCTGAGGACCTGCCCCCACTGTGGCCTGGCAAGTGCCAGGGGAAGAATCTAGGCAGCTACCCCATGCTTGAGGGTTCACATGAGACTGCAGCGGCGCTCTTGCCCGTAGGAATTCTCCACACGGGCAATCTCCTGGATGACTTTGGTGAAGATGCCTTGAGTCAGCTGCACGGGAGAGAGATTCATGGCAAAAAAGTTAGTTCATTGCCAATAGTACCACCCAGCTCTTGAGGTGAATACCCAACTCTCCACCATCCCCACCACCAAGCACTTCCATTAAGAAAAAAACACTGCCACCATCTTCCTAATTTTCAGACCCAGCACCTGATTCTCTCGAGCAGATGACTCCATGAATGTCGCACCCCATGACTCTGCCAACTTCTTCCCTTCAATTGCCTGGACCTCCCTGGAAGCAAATTTGGGACATGAAGATGGAAGATAGCAATGTCCTCATGTTCTCTGCAAAATCTTTCTTCTTTTTAATTTAA